GATCAGAATTTTTTTTTTTGTCTTATTACCTTCACAAAATTATAATCTTTAATTCTGTATGATTTTTTTTTTTTTTTTTTTTTTCAAAATTTCTTGGACACTGGAGCACCACTTCAGATTTTGGTCTTGGACCCTGAAGGGGGTTAAGTAACGTTTCTGGGTCAAAATATTGGCTCGGTTAACGACACTGAAACCCCCCTTCGGTTCAAGTCATTCATCCGAACTGTCCCATCATGTGCGGCCCTGGCCACTCCGTGTACAGCCTGTGTGCCACTGTTTACTAGCCAGTGAGGACGATTCCATAATTACATGTGATACATTTTGTATTATTCCATTGTTTTTAGTACTTCTAACTGCTAAATAAGCCACCATGGGCTCAAAGAAAGTTCTAGTGCCAGCCTTTAGTAATGTGGGTGAGAAACACTATTGAATAGTCAAGATATAAAGTTTGTAAAAGATTCGAAAGTGGTGGTGGTGTGGACGGTAAGCGTGGTAGTGATGGTGGTACACCTGCCAGGGTAATTCCCCCCACACCAGCCAGGGTACTTCCCACACACCAGCCATGGTTACTGTCCCCCATACTACCAAAGCCAGGGTACTTCCCCAACACGCCAGCCTTGTACTTCCCCCCATCATCCTGCCTGGGTAACTTCCCCACCACACCAGCCATGGGACTTCCCCCATAACCCAGCCTTGGTACTTCCCCCATACAACTAGCATGGTACTTCCCCCCTCACAGCCAGGGTATCTTCCTCCCACACCAGCCAGAGGTATTCCCCTCACTACAGCCATGGTACTTCCCTTACACCAGCCAGGGTACTTCCCCATTCCTGCCAGGGTACTTCCCCCACCTCTCCAGCCTTGTACGTCCCCACTTACCCGCCATGGGACTTCCCCACATACCAGCCATGGTTTCTTCCCCTCATTCAGCATGGTAATTCCCCCCACACCAGCCCAGGTACTTCACCACTCACCAGCCTGGGTATTCCCCCTAACCTGCCAAGTAGGAACTTACCCCAACACACCAGGCCTGGGTATCTTCCCCCACACTCTGCCAGGGGGTACTTCCCCTACCACACCAGCCTTGTAGCGTTCCCAACACCAGCACAGGGTACTTCCCCACACACCAGCCTTGGTACCTTCACCCCACTCGAGAGAAAGCAGGGTAATGTACACTCACATCCAAGCCGTAGGTACTTGTAGCCACACTTACACCAGCCTGGTACTTCCCCCATACACTCAGCCAGGGTGTCTTCCCCCACACACCAGACATACGGTAACTTCCCCACAATACCAGCCATGGCTAACTGTTCCCCTCATGCCTGCCTACCTGCCTATGGTACTTCCCCACATACCAGACCATGGTACTTCTCCCCCCATCACCAGCCAGGGTACTTCCCCAACACAGTCCAGCGGTACTTCCACCCCCACACCTGCCAGGGTACTTCCCCCACACACCAGCCCATGGTACTTCCCCCCACACCAGCCAGGGTGAATTCCCCACACACTAGCCATGGTAACTTCCCCCCACCACCAGCCAGGGTACTTCCCACCACACCAGCCAAGGGTAATTCCCCCCACACACCAGCCATGGTACTCTCCTCACATACCAGCCATGGTACTTCCCCACATACCAGCCAGGGTTTTCCCCACATACCAGCCATGGTACTTCCCCCACACACCAGCCAGGGTACTTCCCCCCACACACCATCAGGTACTTCCCCACATACAGACCAGGGTACTTCCCCACATGTCCAGCCATGTACTTCCCCCCACACACAGCCAGGGTACTTCCCCACATACCAGGCCATGTACTTCCCCACAACCAGCCATGGTACTTCCCCCACACACCAGCCAGGGTACTTCCCCACTTTACAGCTAGGTATCTTTCCCCAATTACCTGCATGGTACTTCTCCCACACACAGCCAGGGTACTTCCCCATCATACAGCCATGGTATCTTCCCCACACACCAGCAGGGTACTTTCCCCACATACAGCCATGGTAATTCCCACCACACACCAGCAGGGTCTTCCCTTACCAGCCATGGTACTCCCACTACCAGCCATGGTACTTCCCACATACCAGTCAGGGTACTTCCCCCACATATCAGCCAGGGTACTTTTCCCACATACCAGCCAGGATACTTTCCCACACCAGCAGGGTACGCTTTCCTACCACACCCAGCCAGGTACTTCACCACACACCAGCCAGGGTACTTCCCACATACTAGAGGGTACTTCCCCTCACTCAGCCTGGATACTTCCCACATACCTGCCAGAGATTTTCCCCACCCACAGCCAGGGTATTTCCCCACATACCAGCCAGGATAATTCCCCACATATCAGCCAGGGTACTTCCCCATATACCAGCCAGGGTACTTTCCCACACACCAGGCAGGGTACTTTCTCACACACCAGTCAGGGTACTTTTCCACATACTAGCCAGGGTACTTCCCCAAACACCAGCCAGGGTACCTCCCCACATACCAGCAGGGTTCTTCCCCACCACCGCCGGTACTTCCCCACATACAGCCAGGGTACGTCCCCACACACATGATTTGATTAGAGTGGGACTTGAGCATGAGTGAATAGAAGTATCAAAGCTTATTGCCTGAGAAGCATTGAAAACTGGGTTGGGCAAATACGATTCTGTTAGTGAGATGGTTTGTGAAGGACCTGCCTATTAGCGGCCAAACAGGCCTGCTGCAGTGTCCCGGCTTTCTTATGTGCAAACATTTATGGATGAACATCACCCTGACACAGCTGTTGCAGGCCATGCTGGCAACATCTACAATGACAATGTTGTGTCCCATTTGAAGGAAATTTTAAAGAGATGCCAGAAACAGAGCTCTCTGGACAGATATTTAGTGCTACAGGTCTGCAGTAACATTCAAGTAGGTCTTAGGGGGCATTAAAAAAAAAAGTAGGGAAGTAACCCCAGAAAAGGACTTGGTACCTGAAGTCTTGATAGAAGGGGATTCCCATTCCAAACAATAGTACACCTCCATCCTCTCCTTCCTGTATACTGGATGTACATCAGAGTACTATTGACCTGTAGACTGGGTGTACATCAGAGTACTATTGACCTGTGGACTGGGTGTACATCAGAGTAATACTGACCTGTGTACTGGGTGTACATCCGACTAATATTGACCTGTGGACTGGGTGTACATCAGAGTTGTAATACTGACCTGTGTACTGGGTGTACATCACGTGACAAACAGGGATCTGGGTTCACTTACCTCCACACAGACTCTAACTGGAGGATTAACTGAGAAATATTTGATATACTGTGCGTTAAGTTGTACGTAATCATTAATATCCTGGACGTACATCTTCACACAAACTAAGTGATGTAATTCCAATTCTTCACCAAGCAAACATTCTGAAAAAAATGTTCAGTAAAATTAACAATGGCACTTGAGTTACATTAAAAGGTCTAGCATCATACTTTACACAACAGTCATAACACGTTATCCTCTGCCTCATTGCTACTGTGTTGGGTGTAATGTGGAAGGAACGGGGTAATAAATATTGAGGAGTAGGCACTAGCTGGACAGCCTCCCTCTCTTTCTCACACGCGTGAGATATTTGATGATGTATTTTATTCATTCTCGAGTATATGTCACGTTTCTATGTTACTAATATTGTTTATTATGCCATATTAAATGAATTGTGCTAGATAAATAAGCTGTAGAGCTGATATTAGTGTCACATTGAAGGACTATCTTGTGTATTGCAACACAATTCCTAAAATACACCAGAAACAGACCTCTCTGGAAAATTTTTTGAGCGAGAGGGGTCCAGTGGCTCTCAACCTGGTCCTAGTGGCATTAAAAAACAAAGGAGGGAAGTAACCCAGGATAGGGATTTGGTACCTGAAGTCTTTATGGAGTGGGATTTCCCTTCTAAACAATTGTAAACTCCTCCATCCTCTCCCTTCCTCCCATCTTCCATACATCACCATTTTTTTTTTTTCAACAAGTCGGCCGTCTCCCACCGAGGCAGGGTGACCTAAAAAAGGAAGAAAATCCCCAAAAAGAAAATACTTTCATCATCATTCAACAATTTCACCTCACTCACACATAATCACTGTTTTTGCAGAGGTGCTCAGAACACAACAGTTTAGAAACATATACATATAAAGATACACAACTATCCCAAATGCTAATATCCCAAACC